AAATCCATCTCACCTCTTCTTCCAACAAAAGCCATTCCTTTTCACTAACCAATCTCTTCCCAACTAAAGAAAAAGTCTCTTGTTCTGCTCGTGCATTGTCTAACAATAATTTTCGAGCTTCCATTTCTGGTGTTAAATCTGGTGAGGAATTTTAAAGGTTTGATTTGGTAAAATTGTTAAAATATTTTATTACAAAACAAAATTAACTAACAAATGCTAACTGTTGTTACTCTTCATTAATTACTGACTTCAACATTAATCAATACAATTGCTGTGATCTAAGTATATAGGATTTTAATAAAGTAAATTAGGGTCCAAACACTTGACAAAGAACAAAATTCTAGCACTTTTTAAGGACTTACCATAATGTAACTAACTTTAAACATCTTATTAAAACATAGAAACAAATAATGTTTAAACCATAACTATTAAACATAGTATTATAAAAAACATATAAATGAATAACAGGACTGCATACACATGTTCTCTCAGAAGTTAACATTTTCCTTACCTGAAAATGTATTTCTGATAGGTACTCACCACTGTACACAAATTAGCTAGTTAACTCTTGAAGTTGTGCTATTTGCCTGAGAAATTTGCATGCCAACAGCCTTGTGAAAACTCCCACCTAAAATTTCCATGAAACATGTGAATTTGCACCATTGTAGGATGATGTACCATGCAGCAAAATCCTCCATCGATAGGAGTGTGACACACCTCTGTGCACAAATGCTTCCTCTATATTAATGCATGAAATTTCTCATTCTTTGACAAGTGCACCAGGAAAGTGGGAAGGAAGGAAGGAAGGGTGGGGATGTGTACGGAGGTATCTGAAATACATTTTCAGTTAAGAAAAATTTTAATTTCCAATATGATCACTTATCTCCGTACACAGATGAGCTAAAATCCCATGTTGTGATGGTGGAAGGACCAGTGCAAATGTTAGCTGGATGAGCCCCTCTTGAGAGCACCAAAAAGAAGCTCATAGGGTGTGACAGGGGCACATCTATGGAAAATCACATCTCATCTCATCTAAGGTTTACTCTTTGCCAGAGTGAGGGTTAGGGAGAGATGAGAAGCCTGAAAGATGTCTCAAGAATGGGCAGAACAGGAACATGACTGTCCAAGAGTTTGCACATAAACCATTGGATGGTCAATACGTACAGTGAGATTGGAGCATGTTCAGACTGTACCTTGTGTGCTCACCTTCTTTATCATCAGTCTCTATGGGTCAATTCCAGCTGTGGAAGAAGGGCACATGTGAAAAATATCTGTGCACAGTTCCTCAACCATCAAACACAAAGGGCCCATGCCAGTTGCAGGAAGAAAGCACCACAGGGGTAACAACTAATAAAGATACTTATGAAACCACCACTCAATTATTAGACTCTACGGGTCTTTTGCCAGCTGTGGGAGTAGGGTTAATGAGCGAGACATCACAGTTGAATATTAAGAAATATCAATTACTTCACAAGTATATACTGTAGGGTCATTACCTTGCAGGAGTAAGTACAGGAGAAACAGAGTAAGGGAGATATGTGTACGAAATTCACTTGGAGATTGCAATGTATCTAGGTAAGGTTGGGGTGATCCACACTAAACTTTGGAAACACCCCTGCCTCTCATCTAAATATAATGGGATCCTTGTTTTAGCACCAGCTGGTAGGTCTCAATTGGTGAGGATTCTCATTGGTCGACCACTCCAGTGGCTGGGAGCTGATATGTGGCAAGAGGGGGAAAGAAGAATTTGTGTAGGGGAGACCTGGAAAATGTGCCCAGATCCATATTGGTCCTTCAATCCGGAAAGGTCTTTTACTCGAGACAGTGCAAAGGGTAACCATGAAACTTTATTTTTCAAAGCCAGTAAGCACTAGCCAGAAACGCAGGCAGATACACAACTCTGGTGCTGGTTTTTTTCCATGGAATTGGTACAGTCTGGGTTAGACTGGCAAAAGTTATATAAACACCAATGAGTAAAACTCCAGTGGTCTTGCGGAAAACCTCATATCACGTGGACACTGATTGGGTCAGGACAGATGGTCTGAGAACCTTCCGTTATCCTGGCCTGATGCGGAATTTTGGGTAAGTGCACTCTATGAGGGAACACTAGCCACCTAGTGGGATCCAAATGTAAAAAAAAGGTGACGAAGGAATAAGTTAATGAATACTCTCATCCCTTACAGGAACAGGATCAACTGAAGAATGGCCATTGGTGGAAGTCAGTATGTTACTGGAGACAAGACAGTCAGATGGTGGAACTGGTGTAATATGAGACAAATGACTGTGAGGTAGTTCACATGGCAACATGGAGAGAAGATTGAGAGAAATTGACAGAAGAAAAACTGAAGAGAGGAAACTTGAGAGAGCATACAATTATCTGCCTTCAGAGGGGCACATATGACACTTATGAACTGGTGGATGCATCCCATAATGAGGTAAGGAGAGAGGTCCCAGGTAGAAGATGAGTCTCAGGTGTGAAAGGACAATGAGGCGAACTACAAGGAGGACGAGTGTGACAAAACACTGAGCAATCCAAACAAAACAAGAGCATCTGTCTGGATCAAAATTAACACCAAAAAAGAGAAACAGAAGGACAGGGTATGGGAGAAAAGGAGTGACCACTGTCCCCAACCATGAAATACGAGGGAAGGAAAGACCGGCCAGAATGAAGGAGAAGAGAAGTGTGGTATTGAGAAACTGTGGTACAAGGGCAAAAATATGCTAACAACGGCGATCAAATGCAAGTGAAATTATTATATCAGGAAAGGCTGCCTGAAACCCAAAACAAAAGAAACACTATAGTTCATGGAAGAACTGTCCCATGAAAGAGGAGGAATATGTTACAATGCAATGAAGTCAAGGGAAATGTGAACAATGAGATCAAAGTGAGAAGTATGCCTCATATAATGTTACAAAGAATTGGTAGAAGGGTAACAGGAGTGGGATAAAGGGAGAGCAACATGACCAGGGAGGTGGAATGGACAAATTCACATGCACAGAGGAGATAATTTTATATCTCTACGAAAGAGCAATGTATGAGTGTTGATAAGAAGGAATGGAAAGTTGAAAAGTGGAAGTCAGGGCTGAGACACAAGAAGATGGAGCAACCGAAACAAGGTCGGGTTTGCCTGTGAGGGACCATCAAAGGGACCACATAAGCAAGAACCTGAGGGATGAGATGGAGGGTAAGACCTGCATAATTAAAAAGATGGGACCAGTCCAAACTGAGAGCACAGGTAGCCAGGGCTGAGGAATGAGGCAGAGGAGACCAGAATAGAGGAAGTTTAGCAATGAGGGGTGTGGCAAGGCAACAAAAGGATGAGGAACGAGTTGAAAGCAGAACAGCAGAAGACAAGTGGGTGAGGAACCAATCCGTGTGTAGGATGTGGTCATGTAAAAAAAAACAGTTTGTTACAATGTGCAGTGCCCCCAGAACATGACAGGTTATGAAACTCACCCAAATGGAATAAGCCCAGTTCTATGTTTGAACATTATCTTCTATATGTGCACATTAACAGTTCTGATATGGGCATCTTTTTCTGTGCATGTCATGAGGATTTACTGAGTTACATTCAAAATTTAATACTAATAATAGTACTTTGTTATCATGGTATATGTATATTCTTCACATAAAAACATACCTACTAATTCAAATTTTAGTAGTATATAAGTTTAAGTTCTTAATTTTATAAAGCAATATTTAAAAAAATCCTCAATTTCCCAAAGTATGAGAATTATGACATATGCTCTCTAGGTATACCCTCTTCTCTAATTTATTTACCACCTCTCCTAAAAGTACAAAATTTAAATTACCCATTATAATTTTTATAGACTTCAATGTTATTTGGTTACAAAGCCATAAACTAGAAAATCAGACCCCTTCTGCCACACCCACCTGTCACATACTTTCTTTTACACATTATCAATAGTTCACTTTGAGACTTAATACTATTATTTAAACCAATATAAAGCCACGGTTTTACTCTATTAAATGATGTATTACATGACATTGTTTTTTCCACAAGGAATTGTCTATTTCCCCTCCAGTTCAAACTTTATTCTCATGGGAAAAGACATTGATGAGATTAGCTGAATTTTTAATGCCTCTTGTCACATAGTTAGAAAGCCAAAAAAACTGTGATAGTTATAGGACATTGTGTGGTTTTTGTATGTTATTATTCTGTGTTCTTTGGTGTAATACTTAAATAAATAAAAAATATTTAGTGCAGTAGTACCATTACTATAAAATGTAGGGTTAAGTTTCTTCCACAGTCGATAGCAAAAAAAAAAGAAAAAAAGAAAAAAACCAGGGAAGTACTTTATTTCTTGTTCTTTATATGTATTATTTATTTATTACAATAAAAGTAACTAAAACATAAAAATATTAGAAACTGTTTAGGTTAGATAAGAAATAATAATAACAATAAAAAAATTTCATGAGGTACGTTTGCAAGTAATTTGTGAGTAGCCCATGCATTATGGAATTCGAAAAAGTAACGTGAGCTATACATTTGCCAAGTGGTTTACAGCTTCTGTTACAGAAATATTAGTTAGACATGGTTGAAAGTGCAATATAACAATAAAATTTAAATATAAAAAGATGTATACTGTTACAAGTTTAAAGCTATTTAGGATAAACAGTTTCGGTTTCCTGTTACAATTTGCAGTCATTCCAGAAAGAAAAAAGGGCGAATTAAAATTATTTCATAATTTTTTTATGGAGGTTATGAGGTTGGTCAAATTGACCGACCATGTATAGAGTTAGAGTATAGAAAATAACAGATAAAATATAGTTTTCTGAAAAAAAAAATACATTCAATATTTATTTAGGAGGATTTAGGGATTACAGAGCAGTCAACACTCTGACACTATAAAATTATGGACAACTTTCTAATAAAAACACTAAATTAGAAATTCTTATTTTTGTCTACAAAAGACTGTTTACTGAAAGCTTGCCAAATTTCTTGAAGGTGCATTAAGTGCTTACTGGGTTAGATAAGGTTAAATTAAATAAGCTAAAAAATTATAATAATAAAAATTCTTCACTTGGTATGCTTACAAGCAGCTCGCAAGTAGCTCATGTGTTACATAATTCAATATATAATGTGAGCTACCTGATCTCTGAGTGATTTACAATT